TGTGCTTTGTAAGATTTTTGTATCTATTTAATTAAAGTTTAAAATCGATAATAAAGTTTAAAATTATAGAGTTACAGTTCGTCACAGTTATGAAAAGAATAACAATTTTTCTTATTTCACATTCGTGCTATATATAATATATTTTTTTCATGTACATTATCTGCGCATCTTCTTTTTACATATTTATTTTTCGTGTATAATCCTTGCAGTTATAAAAATGCATTATTTAATTACGAAACGAGTATAAAATTCAATTGCTAAAAAATTTTATCGATAGTTACTCAAAGCTCCCGTTGGGCGATAACAGTTTCACGAATAAAAAGCGATATTCAGCGGCGTACCTATTCAACTTTAAACAATGATTATCGCTGTCATATTTGATCATCTCGAATTTACGACCAATTACGACATGCCGTTAGTTCACATAGATAATCTTCCTTTAATTATTAATATAATTTTCGCCCGTTTCACAAGTCCTCACTCCGCGAAAAACCTATTTCCGCGTACTTAAAATTTAAGACGCTTTCGAAATAAGTTCTTCGGCTTCAATCTATCAAACTTTTACATATTTCAGACTTCATGAAGTTCTAAATACTCAGGCGAAAATTACACGAAATGGAGTGAGTCGTGTCTCGCGGAGGCGCGAGAGAAGAGTGTTAACGCTTGTAAATCAGCGAGAGGGACGAAGGGGACGAGAGGGGATGAGTGCACTTAAATGGAGTGACGCTAATTTATTTTCGAGGAGTACGAGACGGATCTATCTTCTTTCTTCGCGAAGAGGCGGAGAGGGAAGAGGGAGAGCGATCGTCGCGATTTCCTCCCTAATGTTTCATTCTCGACGCCTGTGTCTGCTTCTTGTCGTGCATACGCTTGCAAATCGGCACGTGCCGCTCCGCGGCGGACCGATTGAACTTTCTGCCGCAGTGCTCGCACTGAATATAATCGCTGGTATCGCTGGCTGGGGGTGGCGGCAGATCACTCAAATTTTCACCCGCCGCCAATCGTGCCTGCGTCTCTCTCGCGTAGCGTATCGTGTTGATGAATTCCTCGTGTTTGCGCCGCCAATCCGACTTCGCCTCCGGTTTCTTCGTCTTTGTCTGAAAAATTTAGTAAAATTTAGTATGAACGCTTTAAACGGTGTTTTCCTCGATGAAAAACAGCTAATTGCTATCTTCTTGAAACGGATAGTTCAAAGAGTATTATTTTTATTACGAGATTTTTATGTCTGACGATATTAGTATTCCTCATCGAAAAGTTTATAAATTTTCAGCTATTGATTTTTTGGAATGAGGATATTCCTTGATACTGACCTCTCGCTTAGAAAGACTTTTCTTGACGAAAGGTTCGAGCTCGGTTCCTTTGACTCGGCTCATCACCGGGTCGAATTGCTTCCTCTTCTTAGTTGTTGTTTTCGAGCAGATGTTTTCGTGAAGGTCGATTCGATTTTGCGCGAAGCTACGTCCGCACGTTTTACATTTTATCAGACCTTTTCTGCAATTAATTATCAATTAGTAACGTGAACATATTATATTGTAATCACCTTATAGTTCCTTATATTCTGATAAATTTTTATAAAGAAAATGAAAAAAATTACAAGTTAGTTTAAATTTTTTTCTGAAACTATAGAAATTATATTACATTCTATCAAAGTAACTTATTTGCATTCTGTGATTGTTACTTATAAAAATAGCATTTTCTCTCCGACATATTATGTTCTTGAAAATTTAAATTTGACAAGCTTCAAATATAATTTTCAGACAATTTGAAAAATCACAAATCTGATAATAATTTATACATTTTTTGACACTGAGTGAGATATTCTTTTCTAATAAAATACACAGAGATTTATTGAAGAAACTTACGTGTCGTTAGTCGCATCTTCGTTGAAACTCGACGCATTCGCAAGCTTGCTACCACTGGAAGAGGACTTTTCCATACCTCTGCCTCTGGCTGCACCTCCTTCTTTTGCCATTCCCTTTCCTCTTTCTCTTTCTGCCATTTTACTTTTCGTACTGGAATCTTGAATTAAGTTAACACCGGAGTTCGACGAAGTCGGCCGACCTGATGCACTGGAAGCTGCCTGTTGCTTCTGTAAACAAGTAGACGTGTATAAATTAAGCAAATATAACTAAATTACATAAAATATATATATTTCACAACATAAAATATTATATAACTTTGAAACGTACGCGATTTTTGTTGAATGATTTGCTTCTTGATGGGGAAATAAAAATTTAGGTTACTTAAATTAGCAGGCATAATTGTACTTTACATAATGTGATGTGAGTTTATTAATTGCCTTCATCGACTCTTTCTCAATGTTATAATTCACGTTTGAGCCTTCTCTCAATTTTTTGACAGATCGTGTCTGCCAATTGACTCTGATTGCAATTGTTCGCGAAATAAATTACATAACAATGAGAAGATTAATAATTTCGTTTTGCATCAAATAACTGATTGACGTTTTCACTTTATTATTAATTGATTTGAAATATATAAAATTAATATGAATATGTATATTAATATTAAAGTATGTGTCTTTATAGATTTGTCTGGAGTTTAATTTGATATATATAAATAATATATACATGAAGTAAGCTATATTTCACGCTATTAATTATATTCATAGCGATTAAATGGCGCAAAAATTGAGAAATAGATTTCATTCGCTTGATCCATGCGATGAAAATAACATAATAATAAATAATATATTTTGAGTTTGAACAAAAATAGGAATAATCGATCTTACATCATTCGATCTTACATCAGAAGACTTCTTCATCGGCGATTTTTTCGACGGGATTGCATCGTCTTCTCTCGATGGTCGATCGTCGTAGTCAATCATGAAAGCGTTGGATTTTCTTGTCGTGGATTCGTATAGCGAACTATTTTGGAGAACGGTACCGTCAGTTGTGTCGACAGCTGTCGTTGCTTTATTTCCAATTGAATCCGTGCTTTTCCCCGTTGATTTTCTCGAAGACTTCGTTTCTTGATTCCTCGACTCTGTGCGCTAAACAGATCCATTCGTTCAGTTCAATATTAATTTAAAATCAGTTACAAAATAAATATCTTAAATATATCAGACAAGGAAAAAAAATGGTTACAACAATCATGAAATATCTATAATATTCAAACAAAATTTATATATATATATATATATATATATATATATATATTATAATAT